AGTCTTAGAAGCATACTACTCAACATTAACAAAACAGAGGGAAAAGTTCAAAGCAAATTCTAAACCAAATATGTAGTTAATTCTTAAAATTTAGGATATAAACTTTTATAGGAAAAGTATGTTTTTAATAATAGAAATCATGGCCAGGCACAGTGGCTCAAGCCTATAATCCCAGCACTTTGGGAGGATTATCTGAGCCCACGGGTTCAAGAACAGTCTGGGCAACTTGGCGAGACCTCATCTCTACAATAAATTAAAAAATTAGCCAGGCATGGTAGCGCATGCCTGTAGTTCTGGCTACTTGGAAGACTGAAGCAGAAGGATCACCTGAGCCCAGCAGGTCGAGGCTGGGGTGACCTTGAGCATGCCACTGCACTCCAGCCTGGGTGACAGAGTGATACTTCAACTCAAAAAAATATGTGTGTGTGTGTGTGTGTGTGTGTGTGTGTGTGTGTGTGTGTGTGTGTAAAGTATAAAAGGTTAACTTTGTTTCTCTGCAAAAGTATTGACTCTGCACACCTACTATTGTATACTTCCAGGTTCATGGCAAAAAAAGAGAAAACACTGTACTTGGAATCAGAAGATGTGGGTTTGGTCTCAGTTCAGCCTGTTTTCTTATTTCAAAAATAGAGTAATGTTTATCACCTATGCCTTCCCTGGCACTCTTATGCCGCAACAGCAGGCATCTAGCTTGTGTCTTATTCCCTCAAGACAACCTTGAGTTCAAGGCCAAATAGGTGTAATCTTTTATTTACATAACCTAGGGACTGTTGGAGCTTCCAATTTAAAGCTCAGCATCAAGGCTGGGTATGATGGCCCACTCTTGTAATCCCAGCATTTTGGGAGGTCGAGGCAGGAGGATCCTTTGAGCTCAGGAGTTCAAGACCAGCCTCAGCAACATAGCAAAACCTTGTCTTTACAAAAATAAAAAATAAAACTCAGCCTCTAAAGCATTAAGAAACAAAGAGCTAGCTGGGCATGGTGGCTCACACCTGTAATCCCAGCACTTTGGGAGGCCTAGGTGGAAGGATTGCTTAAGCCCAAGAATTCAAGACCAGCCTGGGTGACACAGGGAGACCTCATCTCTACAAAAAAGAAAAAACCAAACAATTAGCTGGGCATAACACACACTTGTATTCCAGCTACTCAAGATATTGAGGTAGAAAGATCACCTGAGCCCAGGAGGTCAAAGCTTCAGTGAGCTGTGACTGTGCCACTGCACACCATCCTGACAGAGTGAGACTGCAACTCAACAAACAAACAAAAACTCAAAGAGCTGAAGATCTATGAGAAGCAGTCAAGTAGATTTTAAACTTTCAAAGAACAATGATAAAGCATTATTATAAGTATCAAAATGACAGTGAATAGCAGAATATATAAGCAACAATTACTATTATTTATGAAAATAAGATAAATAACCAAAAGAATAAAAAGTTAGAAATACCATTGAGAAGTGTACTAGATATTTGAAAAGCTAACAAAAATTCATAAGATATATAACAGATCTAAATAAATTGTGATAGAGCAAGTTTCCTCATATAGAGACTATTATAAGGATTCCTTTCAAGATTATTCTTTAGTTTAAAAAAAAAATCCTCACTTTCTCTAACTTTAAGGATGTGTGGCCACATAACAAAATTATTCTAACATTCCTGTGGACAAATAAACATGAGAAAATGGCTAGGACATTTTTTTAAACTTGTAGAAGCAGATATGAAATGTATTATAAAACCACAATAGGCCAGATATGGGGCTTATACCTGTCATCTCAGCACTTTGGGAGGCTGAGGCAGGAGAATCACTTGAGCCCAGGAGATCAAGCCTCGGCAACTCAGCAAGACTTTGTCTCTACAAAAAATATATATAAATAAATGGTGGCACATGCCTGTAGTCCCAGCTACTCAGGAGGCTGAGGCAGGGTCACCTGAGCCCAGGAGGTCAAGGCTGTGGTGAGGTATTATCATGCCACTGCACTCCAGCCTGGGCAACAGAGTGAGATCCTGACTCCAAAAAGCAATAAAAATAAAATAAATAAAACTACAATTGTTAAAGTGACGCAGTTCTGACACAAGAATGAAAAGATAGATCAATGGAAGTCAGAAAAAAGCATTAGTATATGTAAGAGCTTAACATATCACATTTATATATATATACAAAAACAATCAATGAAAACATGAAAAGATGTTCAGATTAATCAGTACTCAGGGAAATGCAAATTGAAACCACAATGAGATACGACAGCACACCCATTAAAATAGCTAAAAGTAAAAAGGGTATGAAGCAATGGGAACTCTCACATGTTGTTGTCAAGAATGCAAAGTGGTCCAGCATTCTTGGAAAACGATTTATTAGTTTCTTATAGCATTAAACGTACATTTATCACACAACCAGCAATTTTACTTCTAGGTCCCTAAAAGAAACAAAAACATATGTCTGCACAGAGAGACAGAAATGCATGAATGTTCATAAAAGTTTTATTCAAGATAGCACAAAACTGAAAACAACTCAAATGAACAAATAAACAAACTGTAGCATATCTATACATTGGAATATTATGCAGAAACAAAAGGGATGAACTACTGATACAAGCCACAACATAGATAACTCTCAAAAGCATCATGATAAGTGAAAAGTCAAACACAAATGGTTACATACTTCATGATTCTATTATATGACGTTCTCAAAAAGGCAAAAACCATAGGGGCAGAAAACAGCTCAGTGGTTGCCAGAGCCTGGGAAATTCAGGGGAGATTGATCACAATGGACATGAGGGAACTTTGGAGGTGATAATAACATTCACATCTTAATCATGGTGGTGGCTACATGAATACACGTATTTTTAAAACTCATAAATCTATATAATTAAAACAGGTAAATTATATCTCAAACTCAGCGTTTAAAAAACTCAACTCCCATACTTTAACTCAGTGAAAAATAGGTGGATTTATTCATAAAATGATGTGGAGAACATTGGCTATTTAGAGCTAAAAGCATTTAATTCTTATTTCATTTCATATGCCAAAATAAATTCCTTCTGGAAAATGAAAAGTAAAAACAAACTATTAAATAAAACAGAGGCCAAAGTTTATTTAATGTCTGGATGTAAAGGACATTTTAGGTTTAAAAATTATATTAAAAAATATCAAAGTTGATGATATTTGATTATCTGAAAATTAAATATTTCTGCATGTCAAAATCGGAATCAATGGGGAAAATATTTGTCCTACTTGTGATAAAAAAACATACAATATAAATCACACAATAAGTTACAGGAAAATGCCAGAATTCACTAGAAAAATGAGCAAAACCTCTGAATGAAGAAGATAAAATACAAAGGACAGATACATTTATGAAAAAAACTACCTCCCTAATAAAGAGAAGCAAATTAAAAACCAAAAGATATCATATATCATCTGTCAATCTAGCAATGTTTCAAATTTGTGGTATGAAGACTCAATGTTACCAGGAGCTTCACTGCTAGTGAAAGAGTAAGTCTGTACAACCTTTTTCAGAAACACTTGAAAACACCTGGCAAGAATTTTAAACATTAATACATTCTGACCCTACAGACTTGTGCTAAAAAAGCTATCCAGAGAAACTACTAGAAACTTATTCAAAGTTTTGTGAATATATTAACCACAGCATTTTAAAAAATAATAACAGACAATAAAAGTCTTCAACAACAAAATGTTAGATAAATCTGATCACAAGATAGAATATTACACAGTTGTGAAAAAGGTTTCCAGAAATTTAACAACATGGGGAAATGGTAAGTGAATATCATTAAAGTGAAAAAGGATACAGAACCCTATGCATAATATAAGCCTGATTCATTTTTTTTTTTTAAACCATCATTCAAGGATATGTTGGGTGCCAGCAGTGTACAACATGGACAAAAATCCTTGCCCTCATGAAATTTATAATCTATAGTCTTGTTCACCACAATATCCACAAGCCTGGTCCAGTGCTCAGTAAATATTTGTTAAATGAATACCAATAGAATGAAAAGTAAAGAACAAGCTAGAAATACAGGCCATTCCTTCGTCTGGACCAGAAGAGGCAAAGAGGAGCCTGTCTCCATGTCCTCCACAGCCCAGGAGAGAACAGCAGCATTTATCACTCTGATGGCAACTCATTGCATGGAGAAGTCAAAGAGATCAGTATCAACGGATGCCAGACACCACACAGTTCCCAATGCACTTGAGGGGACAGAAATATGATCGAGATACAGTCAAGCAGCTTACAAATCAAGTTGTCAAGACAAGCTGGCGGGGAGACCGGTTGACTGCCTTGAAACCAGGGGTACACAACTTCAAGTTGACTTTTTTAAAAAAACTATTCTTTAAAAAGATAATTTAAAGAAAAAAAAAAAGTTCCAGAATGAATTAGGAGAAAGTTATGGAAAGGAGTTTAAACTCAGCCCAGAAAACAAGGAGATTGCAAACAGAGGTTCTACTAACCCAGGAGAAGACATGTCCCCAGATCAATTCTCAAAGTCCACGGCAGTTGAATGCCTGATTTTTGAACTTTTCCATAAAATGTATTTATTCTGTCTTCCTCAGGAGCCAATCCATCTCATGACTGTTAATTGTGCCATGTATTAGACATAAGTCATGCCATATATTAAACATATAAGTCAAAGAAAGAAACAACCTTTGTGACTCCTAATGAGCATACATCTTGCCCAAGTGACATCTTCACAAGGTTGTAACTGGATATCTCCCCGCCACACCCTGCGGGTGACAGTGGAGGCAACACCCATTCGAGTTGCTCTATAATCTTGGGATTCTAGAGCAGAAATCTGCAATGAAAGACAATGTACTCTGCACTTGAAACAACCCACCCACCCCTGCACTCCCAGACACAGGATCCCCTGAATTGCTCATCAAAGACTTTGTGCACCAGACATACGATGGCAAAATCCCTGCCAAGTCATCTCTGCAAAACTGTTTGAAAGCAAAAGTGGAAAACAAAAGAAGCAGTTAAAAATACTCTTGTACCTTGAATGCTTCTTTTAAAAAAGGCCTTACATCCTTCACACGACCAGACTCCGTAGTGATATCCCGACGCGTAATCGCTGCAAACTGCGCAGAAGTGGGCATCCCTCTTTGAACTTGGACTAGTGACAGGGCTGGTGCAACGGCTCCCACTAACCTTTCTTTTTAGCACCTCCCTAGGGAGCAAAGAAAATATTCATGTTAAAGGAGCATAAGAGGGAAAGGAAGGACTTTCTAGGAAAAAATAGCGTGAACATTGCTTAATTTAATCTCTTTGCCCTCCAGGGCTCATGGTAAATATATCCAGAAACTCTCATAGAGCACAACTTCTGGTATTAATGTGAGATCTACAAAGAGTCACTCTGTGGGGAATGACTGATGTTTACAAGTGGTGGGTGAGTTTACATCCCTCCACACGGTGCTGATGAGCACTGTAACCAGAGAAGGCATGTTGAGCCACGGGGTGGGGTCCATCTCTGAGGATAATGAACGAAGTGGCCAGATCGAATCTAACCCACAGATCTGAGCCACTAGCAGGATACGCAGTGGCCTTCTGTAGCTACTGGTTCATCAGTGCTGCACAGAGGGGCCTGAACTCACATATCCACTTCCAAATATTAATCATTCCCAGCAGACCATCAGACATTTGAGGTTCCCATTTAATTAGAGGACAAAAATCTTTCACTCTGCAATTTCAGATAAAGGTCTAGATTAAAAATAACTTGAAGAGGAGTGACAAGCAGATTTTAAGTTATCTTTGGCAAGGCACAGTGGCTCACACCTGTAATCCCAGCACTTTGAGAGGCTGAGGTGGGAGGAATGCTTGATCCTAAGAATTCAAGATCAGCCTAGGCAACATAGTGAGATCTCATCTCCACAAAAAAAAATTTTTTTTTAATTGGCCAGGCGTGGTAATACAAGCCTTGTAGTCCCAGCTACTTGGGAGGCTGGGGCAGGAGGATCAACTGAACCCAGGAGGTCAAGGCTGCCATGTTTGTGCCAGTGCACTCTAGCCTGGGCAGATGATCCAATTCAAAAAAAAGAAAAGTTATCTTAAGATGAATACTATACAGTTATACAGTACTCTGCTTAAAAAGAGAGGAGAGAGCCGGGCTCGGTGGCTCAGCCTGTAATCCCGCGCCTTTGGGAGGCTGAGGTGAGTGGATTGCCTGAGCCCACGGGTTCGAGACCCGCCTGGGCAGGCGAGACCTCATCTCTACACTAAAATCAAAAAATCAGCCGGGCGTGGTAGCGCGCGCCCTGTAATTCCAGCTACTTGGAAGGCTGAGGCGGAAGGATCTCCGGAACCCAGCAGGTCGGGGCTGCGGTGGCTGGGAGTGGCCACTGCACTCCAGTCTGGGTGACAGAGTGAGACTCCAACTCAAAAAAAAAAAAAAAAAAAAGAGAGGAGAGAAAGGGAAGAAAAGACAGAGGGGGAGAGAAAAAAGAAGAGAGAAGTGGGGAAGGTTGGGGGGAAGTGCACAAGAGAGCGCATGCATGCAAGCAAGTGCCCATCCTGAGAAGACACTAAAGGAAACAGAGGCCCAATGCTGAGCACAGGGCAAGAGGTTCGTGGGGGAACAGAGACTAGAAGGTGGCACAAGGGATGGGAGGGGAACCAAAACCACATCTGGATATTTCTTGATTTTGCCAGCACACATTTCCTTAAGAAAGAAAATGGTAGCCAGACTCAGTGGCTCAGCATGTAATCCCGGGCTTAGGAGGCCGAGGTGAGTGGACTGCCTGAGCCCGCGGGTTCGAGATCCGCCTGGGCAACTTGGCGAGACCTCATCCCTACAATAAATCAAAAAAATTTAGCCGGGCGTGGTAGCGCGCGCCTGTAGTTCCAGCTACTTGGAAGGCTGAGGCGGAAGGATCGCTGGAGCCCAGCAGGTCGAGGCTGCAGTGGCTGGGAGCGTGCCACTGCACTTCAGTCTGGGCGACAGAGTGAGACTCCAACTCAAAAAAAAAAAAGAAAAAGAAAAAGAAAGAAAATGGTGAAGCTATTATTGATTTGTAAATGAAAATAATTATATTGTAGTTTAATCTGCACAAATACTAGCAGGACTTTCATCAGAATTCATGTTCAGTAAAAAAAGATTTCCTTCTTTAAAGGTTAAATACAAAATATTACTTTAAAAAGTTATTCATGATTTTTATATTATCTTCTTTTTTAGTTTACCAATAAATAATGTTTTTTACTTTTTTCTTTTTTTAATAGAGACAGTCTCACTGTTACCCAGTCTGGACTCAAGCAATTCTCTCACCTCAGCCTCCCAAAGTGCTAGGATTATAGGTGTGAGCCACTGCACCCAGCCAATAATATAAAAAGAAGAAAAATAAAATTTATGGTGTAATATTGCTTCCTCTGAGTTTTAGGACAACATTTGAAAGTAATGCATTCCAATATGCTATACAGTCTAACATAGTACTTTGTTGTTTCAGAATTTTATTTTTCTCCCTCTGCCATGCCATGCCTTCTCTCTAGTTCCATAACTAGCAGTAAAAATACTACAAATCAGACTGAAATAATGCACCCATTACCTTGCATTCAAACAGTACATACATTCTTTTTAACTTCAGGAAATTTTAACTGAAGTCTGCATTTAAATAGCTTCCCATTGATTTCATAAAATATTATCATTTGAGTTCATTATGTACATACTTGTGCCAATTATCTGTCTCTTGAGGCTTCATGTGTCTAGTACTTCACTTAAGTTGTTATATTGCTACTATTTTATCCTGGAAACAATTTGTCATGAGCACCACATTGTGTGATTTCACTGTAAGAAGACTCTAACCAGAAAGTAAAACAAAATGTATTTTTCAAACCCAAAGACCTCCATCAAAAGAAAAGTCATTTAAGTTCAGTCTTTACTATATCAAGACAGTAGCCACAATAGCAAATCCTCCCCCCACAACACTTATCTACAAGCACAACTTTTTAATGAGGTCTAGAACATCAGAACAGAACAAGGTGTCATATGTTTTGGGATGCTCTGAGTAATCTACGTGACTAGTAAAGATCCCGTATCTCTCTTTCTTCTCAATCATAAAGCAATTTGTGGCATGCCCTTGAACTATAATTCAGAATGAAGTCTGCGTTTACCTGTTTACAGGTAGGGTGTGTTCTAGCGATCTTGTTTCACACCAAGGACTCTTTTGAGCTTCTGCATACAGATGTGACGGCTGGCAGCGGATCGCTAGAGGAGAGAGGCGCCCAGAAGTTGACCACAACACAGCAGGGCTAGCTGTCTGCTGCCCAGACCCGCCTTCCAAGTTACTGACACTGCTGGAAATACTGTAATTCATCACCGCAGGGGTATAGAATGCCACAGCCGAATACTCATGGCGGTTCTCCACATAGGAGGAAGGGATATAGATGGGGCTGTGCTCCAGGGGAAGGATGGGTTGGCTGCAATTGTAGGAGGAAGGAGAGTTAAGGCTAGAAGGTGAGTTTTTGATATCCATGTCTTGAATAGGGAGCAGTTGAGAAAACTCCTTGCGAGAAGAGGCACAAAGGGACATTATAAAGTTCTCAAAGACCCATGGGCGGGTATAATGGCTGTAAAGAAAAACAAAAGACATCGCTAAGTTAGAGCTGAGGGTAACTATTAAAATTAATTCAAACATTTCTATTTTTAAAAAATACACACATTCGTATAGGATTACAAATGCACCCTGAAAGATGTATATAAGAAAGTTAATTTCAGAGGAGTGGAAACTGAGGCATGGAACTTTTACTTTCTACCTCTTTCATTTCATTATTGCTTTGTTGTTATTGTTGTTGTTGTTACCCACAAGAATTTTTTTAACCACAAGAATTCATTATAGACTACTGTTTAAAAATTAGCCTGGGCTGGGCTCAGTGGCTCAGCCTGTAATCCCAGCACTTTGGGAGGCCAAGGAGAGTGGACTGCCTGAGCCCACGGGTTCGAGACCAGCCCGGGCAACTTGGCGAGACCTCGTCTCTACAATAAATCAAAAAAATTAGCCAGGTGTGGGATCGTGCACCTGTAGATCCGGCTACTTGGAAGGCTAAAGTGGAAGGATCGCCGGCACCCAGCAGGTCGACACTGGGGTGGCTGTGAGTGTGCCACTGCACTTCAGCCTGAGCGATAGAGTGAGACTCCAACTCAAAAAAAAAAAAAATCAGCCTGGCGCACTGGTTTATGCCTATAATTCCAACACTTTGGGAGGCCAAGGCGGGACAATCGCTTGAGCCCAGGAGTTCAAGACCAGCCTGGGCAACACAAGAAGACCTTGTGTCTACAAATAATCAAAAAATAATCAAAAAAATCAATAAGGGTACCCGATCTCAAACCAGGCAAAGTGGGGACCAAAGGAATTCCCAAACTTTACCTGTCGATGTCCACTTGTATACCTAATCCTGAATTGTACCTCACATCTTTCAAATAAAATATTTTTTTAAAAAAATTAGTTGGGTGAGGTGGCATGCATCTGTAGCCCTAGATACTCAGGAGGCTATGCCCAGGAGGTTGAGGCTGCAATGAGCCATGGTCATGCCACTGTACTCTAGCCTGGGTGATAGAGTGAAACCACGACTCAAAAAACAATAAATAAAATTAGCAAACACAAGATTAAATGAAAATGTCAGCAAGTATTTTTTCTGGAACTAGGTAAGTTTATTCGAAAGTTCACATGGAAAGAATAAGCAAGAATAACCAAGTAAACCATAAAAGAAAAGATCAATGAGCAAGGCTAGCCTTAACTGATATTCCAAAACACTATGAACTTCTAATAATAAAAAACAATGGGTACTAGCACATGTTAATCTATTGTCTCTCCGTTTTTTGTTGTTGTCTTCCTTCCTTCCTTCTTTCTTTCTTTCCTTCCTTCCTTCCTTCCTACTTTCCTTTCTTCCTTCCATCAAGGTCTCACTCTGTTACCCAGGCTGGAGTACAGCGGCAGATCACTGCAGCCTGGAACTTCTGGACTGAGGTGGTCCTTCCACCTCAGCCTCCCAAGTAGCTGGGGTGTGCTAACACGCCTAGCTTTTTTTTTTTTTTTTTTTTTGAGGCAAGGTGTCACTTATGTTTCCCAAACTGATCTCAGACTCCTGGGCTCAAGCAATCCTCAGCCCCCCAAAGTGCTGGGATTACAGGCATGCGCCGCCCTGCCCAGCCTGCCTCTCACTTCTGAATGTTCGGGTCAATTTAGGACAAATGACGGAATTCTTTTAGGCTTTTAAAGTGAGCACAATGGTAAGCTTCCTCGGTAGAGGGCGCTGGAGGGACACCGCAGGAGGAAGAGGCTTGCTGTAATCTCTGGCCCTGCAGAGAAGCGCAGTGTGAGTTTGAGGCTCCTGCTGCCCAGAACAACCCTGCAGACTCTGCGTGATGCTAACCATCCCGCAGTTACCTGTCCAGCCTGTTGTCCAGATGATCACACGTCGCCAAGCCATTCATTGTGCAAGACTCGCCATCCTGCACAACCTGGGGTCTCTGAAGGCCTGCCCCCCAAAGGCGCCTGGACTCCACTGCACACTTCCGCCACCTGTTGCTCATCACCCGCTGTCTGTTGACCCTTCAGAGGTGGCCTGTTGCTCGCCCGGCAATTCTGGACCAGCTTCCGCCTGGTAAACCAGCACACCACTCTGCTACCAGGGCTGGCCTTCCCCAGTGAGGTCCCCCCCTCTTCTAAGTCTGCCCTTTCTTGAGCACTCTCCCTCAGCCCTTGCTTACCGAATCGAGTCTCCTGATGCCTCACACTTAATCTCTTAGATTACTTCGTAATTATTTCCATCAAACATCCCCTTGAACATTCTGTATGGTTTCTATCTCCTGACTGGACCCAGACTGCCACAGTCATAAAATAGGAAAACAAAAAATAGAAAATCCAGCTGGGTGCGGTAGTTCAGACCTTTAATCCCAGCACTTTGGGAGGCCAAGGCAGAAGGATAACTTGAGTCCAAAAGTTTGAGCCCAGCCTGGGCAACATAAGGAGACTCCCTCTCTACAAAAAAAAAAAAAAAAGACATAGTGGTGTGCACCTATAGTCCCAGCTACCCGGGAATTTGAGGTGGGAGGATCCCCTGAGCCCAGGAGTTCGAGGCTGCAGTGAACCCCGATGGTACCATTTCACTCTACCCTGGTCAACAGAGTAAAACCTCAACAAGAAAGAAAGAAAGAAAGAAAGAAAGAAAGAGAGAGAGAGAGAGACAGAGAGAGAGAGAGAGACAGAGAGAGAGAGAGAGAAAGAAAGAGAAAATCAAAACACTCAAAAGTGTGTATATATTTGGTATATGATAGAAAGCCAATCACTGGGAAAGCAATGGATAACACTGTAGCCACTGGAAAAAGAACAGTGGGCCCATATCCCACATGATATAACAGAATAAACTCCAGTGGCTCAGAGATCAAAGTGTTAAAAGAGAACTGGAAGGAGGGAGAGGTAGGGAAGGGGAGAGGGAGGAGGAGGAAGACTGGGCAAGTGCTAGAAGCAAACACAGGCAAATCTTTTCATAACCTGGGGTGGGGAAAACTTGCTCAACCATGGCTGGACAACTGGGAATAATTTTTTTCAATGACCAGTATATTCAGTACATAAAAGCAAATCTGTACATATTATAAAAACACCACAAGAAAATTCAAAAGAAAATGACAAATTGGGGGAAAAAAAAACATTCTCGACTTAGAAACAAGGGGCCAAATCTCTCTAGTAAATAGAGATAACTCCTACATGACTATGAAAGACGAAAAATGCATTAGCAAAGCAGGCAAAAGACACAAAGAGAACACAGAAGAAGGAAGGCAGGTGGCTCTTAAAAACACACAAAATGATCAACCTTATTCATAAAAGACAGATAAAATAATACTGATATATCATTTCTCAGTCATGTTCAGCAGGGTCAGTGGTGGTTCACATCTGTAATACCAGCACTTTGGGAGGCCAAGGTAGGAGGACTGTCTGAGCCCAGGGGTTGGAGACCAGCCTGGGCGATTTGGCAAGACCCTGTCTCTACAAAACAATCAATAAAAAAAATTAGCCAGACATGGTGGGGCATGCCTATAGTCCCAGCTACACAGGAAGCTGAGGCAGAAGGATCATCTGAGCGCAGCAGGTTGTGGTAACCATGAGCATGCCACTGCACTCCAGCCTGGGCAACAGAGTAAGATACAGACTCAAAAAAAAAAAATCACGTTCAGCAAAAATTCACATTTGACAACAGACTCTTGGTGAGGCTAGGAATAAACAGGGACTCTCTCCTCCAGTGTTGGTAGGAGTGTAAAATGGAACAACCTACATGAGGAACTGGCTGGCAACGCCCAGCAAAATTACAGATGCTTCTTCCCTTTGCAGTATGAGTCCATGGTGATGCACAATGCACCAGGTAAGGAGGTAGGACAGACCAGAGATTTGACTACTCGACATATTTGTAAGTAGGATCACACAGTATTTGTTCTAATATTGTCCTCAAGGTTCACCCATGTTGTAGCATGTGTCAGAATTTCCTTCTTTTTTATGGCTGAATAATATTCCATTAGATGTACAGACCCTATTTTACTTATGAGTGAAAGGTTTTCAAAGACATGACTGAAGACGTTTACAGATTCATGGGAATGACCTAGGTTAGAGTGAGTGGCTGAATATAGAAGCCACCACAGGAGTTGGTAATTAGGTCACCAGCAACCCTTCGATGGCAGCTCCAGGACTGACACTATTGTCCAGAGGTGTTTATCCCTCAATCTGTCTTGAAAAAAACCTCTCCTAGGCCATTGCCTTACTAGACTCTGGTGTGGCCACATGCTCTTTGAGCTATGGCTTTGGCCCCCTTCCCCACCTTGCAGAGGTGAATCTCCTCTCTCTCTCTCTCATTTACTTTTTAAATAAACTATATTTTCTAATCTTAAAAAAAAAGAAGCCTCTCCTATTCAATCGACCTACACTGACACCTGCTCACTGTACTTATGTTTTCAATACTGTACCTTAGTGATTGTATTTTGGTGTGCTGTTACAGCTATACAGCCAAATATTTCATCAAAACACATTTAACATACATTAACAACATAATTTAAATGGCAGACATTGTAACAATTGAGAGCAAAATACTTAAGGTAATATACATGACAAACTGTATTTATACAAGATATAACCTGGAGGTGATAATTAAACTTTAAATTCCCTGAACTTTTAAGAAAAAGCATAAGAAAAGATGGGCCACCCAACCAAATAAAAAAGCTTAGTGTGATCATGTACTAAAGTCCTTTATACAGAACACTGTTCAATGTAAACTTTTTTTGAGTCAGGGTCTCAAATTCATCCAGGTGGAGTGCAGGGGCACAATCATGGCTCACTGCAGCCTCAACATCCTGGGCTCAGGCAATCCTTCTGCCTCAGCGTCTTCAGGAGTTGGGACTACAGGTGTCACCACCACGTCCAGCTTTTTTTTTTTTTTTCGTAGCGATGAGGTCTCACTATGTTGTCCAGGCTGGTCTCAAACTCCTGGGCTTAAGCAATCCTCCTGCCTCAGGCTCCCAAAGTACTGGGATTACAGGTGTGAGCCACCATCCTATGTCAATGTAAACTTATATAAGG